TTCTGCTCAAGCCCCTCGGGGTGACGGGCAGGGGGAGAACCTGGGCGAAAAGTCTGAGGCTCCCAGCACACCTGGAACAGTTGTAACTGTGGCCCGTGAAAGTGTTTTGCATTTCAAAATAAAACCCCTCTTCTATCCAAGGCAGGGGGGGCTTTGGAAACCCTGGCCCCAAGACCCTGCACCCACAGTCCCTGATGGCATGGGTACAGGGCGCACCCCAAGAACCGCCCTCGGGTTCTCTGGGGCACCGCAGAGCTGTTCACCCCCCGCCCCCGCAGAACGTGTATCCAGCGACATCCACCTTTCTCTGCCTTTGCCCTCTCTCTCACCTGCGAGGTTAGCGTGCGCCAACTCCACTCCCCACTCCAGAAAAGCTCTCTCCTCCCTTTAGGGAAAGCATTTCACACTCCTCCTCATCAGGGTGTGAGTGACTGGTAAGGCAGGCCGCATGCAACACCCCGCCCCAGAGCCCCTGCTCTTTATCCAGGAACAAAGCCTTAGGACGAAGAATGAAACTTTCGTGATGGAACTTTGGGTGTCAGGGGGCTGAGTGTTTCAGGGGGACCAAGTGCCACCCCCACAAAAGATCACGTTTTATCAGCTGCCCCCTGCTTTATCTAAGTCCCGAAGGGATTGTCACCATTTTATTCCCAATGCCCACCATGGTGCCATGCATACCGTAAGCACTCCATAAATGTGCGACACGTGAAGAAACGTCAGTGGCTGTGCTGGGAGGAGACAGAGGCCTGTGGGTTGCCTGTAGTGGGTCTGAGAGGAAAGCCAAGTTCTTCCGAACTTCCCCAGTGACTCATCACAATCAGCCTCCAGCTGGATCGGAGGCCAAGGCACCTCCCCCAACTGACCTGCCCACCAGACGATCCACGGAGGTGTCATTCATTCATGCAGGCAGGCACGCGCACATGCAAGTCACTGCCGAGTTGTGTGCGAACCCTGACTCCAAAAATGGAGACGGCACAGCCTTGGCCTTGAAGGGTCCACCCTGTGGCACCTGCAGGAGCCCCGTGCGGGCGCACGGCGGCAGGGAGCGAGGGGAAGCTCAGGGCTCCCGGGAGAAACGCAGGGACTCGGAGATGGTGAGCTGGGATGATTCAGCAAAAGCCTCCCAGGACTGGGAGGAACGGAAGACTCAGAGGAGGGCAGAGGGCGTCTCCCCCTAGGCCCCTTCCTGCAGGGCCTGCTCGCTGCACTCTCGGCCACCCCAGGCCTCAGGGACACACGCGCTTTAAGGAAAGGGGGCCGATGCACCCGTTTCATGGATGAAGAGGAGGTCCAGGGACTTCCAGCCACATCCTCTCTCTCCTGGGTGCCAAAGCTGCATGACTGGCAGGAAGGACTCATCTTCCTCTTCCTCACCCCGATCATGTCTGGGTCAGGGGTCCTTCCTCTATTTCTGTTGCCAAGCAGACAGGACCACATGTCATGGTGCATCCCCTTCACGGATGGCTGTGGGGCACTGGCCCGATACAAAGCACTTTGCAAGTGTTAACCCTCAAAATTCTCCTAATTCTCTTATTATTCCCACTTTACAGGTGAAAAAATTGAGACCTGGAGAGGTGAAGTGGGATGACTGGAAAGTGCTAGAACCAGGATCTACACCCAAGAGCTCTCTTTCCAGAGCCCACTCTCCTAGCCACCACGCCAAACTACCTTCATATGCCTGAGGAAACTGAGTATCAGAGAGGTTAAGGGTCTTGCCTGAAGTCACACAGCAAGGAAGCATTGGCATCGAGATTCAAACTCGGGTCCAGGTGCTCCCAGAGTCCCACACGGCAGCCTTGGAGGCTCAGCCAGCAGCCGGGGATGGGGAGCCGGAGCACAAGAGGGGGCTGTGGTGCCCCCTGCACGTCCCAGCACCTTGAGCACCCCCATTGTGGGTGGCCACTGAGTAATTTAAGCTCGTGGGCTCCAGCCCACCACTCCTGGGACCTGGGGCTATTTTTAGCTCAGGGCACGGCCACGGCGCCCAGCAGAAACGAGCTGCGCTGGTGGCTTCTCTCCGTCTTCACATCGGCTGCTGCTCTGCCTGCACTGACGCCCAGCTCTCCACTCCAAGGGAAGAGAGAGCAGCAGACAGGACCACATGTCATGGTGCATTTTATTAGAAAGCCACAAACTCTCAGTGACCCACATAAAGAGAGAGAGAGAGAGAGAGAGATGGGGGGAGGCACAGGTGAACAAATACAGAGTAAATACCACGAGCTACAAGCAATCCCCCAGAGCAGTTACCCTGCCCTTGGACAGACACCTGGGATGTGTGGGAGCAGTAAGGGGAGGTAAAAGCACAGCAAAGTGGGGAGACTGACTCCCCAGGCCGCCCCGTGAGAGTGCAGGGTCCCTGGCCCCGCCGCCCTTCTGTGAGTGAGAAAGGCAATGTCCACGACGTGTCCACCCCATGCGTCCCCAGAACCCGCACGGGCTGGCGAGGTGCTCCTGTCCTCCCTCCACCCCCCAGGCCGGCGGGCGGCTGCCGGAGCCGGGAGTGAGGGGACGACGGTAGACCTGCAGGTCGCTGTGCCATGGCTCACCAGGGGGTCTTGGGAAAGTCGCTTTCCCTCTCTGCCCCCCGCCCCCAAAAGGGGTTAGACGAGGTCAGAGGTTCTGGACTTGAGGTGCTCCGATGGGCATCAGGGAGGGCCCACAAACCCCCTGATGCTGTGTGAGCATGCCTCTTCTCAGAGTGGTGGCTCTCAAAGGGACCCTTGCTGTCACCCCTGGGAGGAGTCCCTACGGGGCCTCCACGCGCTGCAGAATCCAGATGCCTGCGCACCTGTCCGTGCTGCACCGAAAGCAGAGCCCTCTCCACCTGAGCCCGGCATTCCAGGAACCTACCGCACCCCAACTCACCCCACACAGGGACTCCCCAACACATGTGATGCATTTCCAAAGGCAGTGCTAACCCTGCCTAGAAACGTGTGTGCACATGCATGCACACGCGCTTAGCACACACAGAACCTCAGAGCTGGAAGGGGCTTTGGGGTCACCCTGACCAACGGCCATATTGCACAGGTGGGGAAACTGAGGCCCGGAAAGGGGAGGCAGAGCTGGGGCCAGAACCCAGGTCTCCTGCTCTAAGTGCAAGGCCCGTTCCGGAAGCTCCCGTCTCCCTCCCCCCCGGTGCACCACATTGCACCATTTCAAATGTGATGGGGGAGGAGGGAAGGCTGCCTCTTGGATCTTAGCCACCCCCAAGGAAGGAAGACTGGGAGACAGTGAGGAGCTGCCTCAGAAGCACCCACATGGGGACAACCCAGCCCTGTCTCCCTCCGCCCGGCTGACACGCGCCGCATGGCGGAACCCGTCACTAAAATACTAAAGGGCTCCCGAACCAGACGGCGATGTGGCACGGAGGCCCCCGTGGCTCTCTTGGCTCTTCCCCAGTCCACCCCGGACCCTCAAAGGTCAACACTCAGCACTGCAGGGGACCCCGAAGATCGCCCCCTCCGGGGCCCCAGCCGAGGTCCGGCCTGACTGGTCAATGCCGAAGTTCAGCATGTTCAGTACCACCCACAGCCAGATCTGGGGCTCTGCATTTGAACTGAACTTCCTCACGGTCATCATTCAGACGTGAGGCTTCCAGGGAAGGAAACTAAGGCAACTCTGTTCTCAAGGTCACCCTGTGAAGGAAGCCTGGGACTTGAGGACCGACTCTTGGGCGCTGACCACTGAGAAATCCTCGCCTCCGCCTCACATGAGCTGCCTGGGCAGGCACAGGCCCCGGGGTTTTGGCGTCCTCACAGGGCCCCGGGGCTGAAGAACATGACTGGGTGGGCCCTGTGTGCGTACCAGGCCCGCCAGTCTCTGGGGCTGAGGTTTCATCCCTCCCACCTCCAAGAACAAGAACTTAAAGAGGAAAATCCTTGGGGATGCAGAAGACTGAAGCAACCCCTGAGATGACAGCAAAGATGCTAAAAATAAGTGCATTCGCTTCCAGAAAGGTAGCTGGAGTCACGGGAAGAAGCAAAGAGAAATCCTCTTTTGATAAGTCACAGCTTAGCAGCAAAGTCATTTTAAAATTAAATGTGAGTTTCCTGGCTTCGCGTGCAAAGGACCTCCACTTGCCACTCACTAACAGGTTGGTGCAGGCTGCTCCCATCAGGATCTCAGATAATTGCAGCAGGGCATTGCCTGCCCTGGAATAGAGCTGGAGCTGGAGCTTGGAGCCCATCCCCAGCGCCCAGACCAACCCTGTTCCCTTCTCTCCCCGCTCAGAGACGGGCTCAAGGATGCAGCCTCCCAGGCCGGAGCCAGGATGCACGCCCCCCCGCCCCCGCCCATACAATCACTCACAGGTTATGCCACCTGTGAAAATAAAACATCGTCTGCTCAGCATGCAGCTGGATGCTCCCCCTGGCCCACCCAACCACTCACTCCAAGGAAAAGGTGGTCCTTCCATGGCTCCCACGTCATATCAGGAAAATCAGAACAGCCCAGAAGACCCCACCACAGTTCATTACTCCGCTGCCCCTGGAAGATGACCCAACCTGAGCCCTGTCCTGTGTAAGTCTCACCTGGTGTGACGAGGTGACACTAGGCAAGGGTTAACCTTCCAGCCTCAGGGGACCCTCTCCCCTCTAGGGCCAAGGTGCCTGCCCACTAGATCACAATACCTGGAGACCCTACGTGCCAGGCTGGCCCGCCCCACGAAGGGTTAATTCACTCCGAGAACTGCCGGCTACTTTCAACAGCTTCTGCTGCAAGGCAGAGGCCAAACTGGGCAGGAGCCACGATTTCTATCGCAATGCCTAAAATGTGAGCCTATTTTACCCCCTCCTTGGGCCCCGAGCTGAAATACAATTTGGCTCCGAGGTGCCACTTGGGTGATCAAACACTGCAGAACGTGGGCAAATAAACGCAGTGGCCCCTCAACACCCCTCCCCTCCCACCTGCCCGCCAGCCCACCGGCTCCTGTACACACCTCCTCACAACTGGGGTTCCAACACCCCCGGCCCATTTGCACAATTTAGGAGACCAGCACTTACCGGCACCAGAAGATTGCAGGGGGGAACGGCGAGCCGAATTCTTTGCCAACGCCCCTTCCCTGCCGGGTGGGAAGATGTTAACTTCCGATGACTTGGTTTGAAAGCTCAGTGGAGGTGCCTGAAAGAAAATTGTTCATTTGACTCTCCTACTCTTCCCAAAATAAAATCTAAGAGCCAACACACACACACACATACACACACACACACACACACACACAGAGCGCAACTATCCCTAAATCATGCAGAACCAAGACAAAAAGAAATACCCCCACCAGAAGAGGAGGAAAGTCAGACCAGTCGGTGGACAAGGCAAACAGACCGTGGCTCCCTCAGACTGTGCTCCACATGGATGAAGGTTTTTGCTCTGTAAGTGTCTCTCTCTCTCTCCCTCTCTCTCTCCCTCTCTCTCTCTCTCTTCTCTCTCTCTGTCGTCCGCCCGCCCGCGCAGGCAACTCCAGGCTGCTGGCAGCCGACGAATCAATTGCTTCCACTGCCCGAAATCAGTGGCAGCTGCCTCCACTGCTGCAAAGCCCTGTGTTGAGCAAGGGAGGGGGCAGCAGCTTCCCGGCTGGCTCGGGGGAACCAAGCCTGCCTTCCACCCGTGATTTATGGGTGAGGTGCCTGGAGAAAGAGAGGTGGGAGGCGGGAGGAGAGGTTGGGCGCACCAGAGATCCCAGCGGGTCGAACGGCAGTCAGGAGACTGGCGATCAGCACCGCGGACAGCGCTGAGCTGTGGCGGAGGAGGGGATGGGCGGGAAGCGAACCCTCCGGCGGGGAAGTTAAGTTATTGGATGGTTTGGGCAGAGAAGGGGGAGTCCAGGGGAAGGAGGGAGATGGGACTTCTCTCGCCATCGCACAGTGAGGTCTGCGACAGCCTACCTCTCACACACTTGTTCTAATCTTGTCACTCACCCGCAGAGCAAAGGAGCTGTCACTTCGCAGGCCCCTGCCCACACACGCCCCCAGACTACCACTGCTCTCTGCTGGGCTCAGAGAAGAGTCTGACCCCGGGGTGGGAACCTGCAAGTGGTCTCTTCCCAACAGAAATCAGCCCGGCTGACCTGTCCTCACCCACGCTACTGCAGATTTCTGACCTGGCACGGGGGAGCCCCCGTGCTCAGGGTCAGGAAGTTGGGGTGTAGGACATGGAAAGGTTTAAGGGACAGGATGGCTTCACTGACTAAGCAGCTGACAGGCTTGTGGGTCCCAGGTCTAACCCCCCACCATACAACCCTGTAAAAGTCATTTAATGTCTCCAAGTCCCGTCTGTACCATGAGGTTTCGACTACTTGGTTTTCCTAAAGACTGAAGAGGTTAAAAAGCAACCATAAGAACACACGAGAGGTGAGCTGTGCTGGTCCCACAGTCCAACCCCGTCCTGCGATTCGGATGTTCTGACACAGCGAGAAAGGAACTGCCAGCCAGCCCAGGGTGGTACGTGCCGGTCCCAGCTTCCAGCACGTGGTTGGAGCAGGATGGTGCTGGGGGACTCCCGGAGGTCTGGATCAGACAACTGAGCCTTAGCCACAGACCCCTCGTCCCCAGAAGACCCAGGCTGGCCTTCTGAGGTGACATCGCTGCACGGACAAGAACATGCAACCAGGAGAAACACACGAAGACGAGCCGGTGCCCAGGGCTCCCGAGTCCTGATCTCATGGACCCTGCCCCTGCTCACTCTGGGCAGAGGACAGGAAGTCCCAGACAGACATGGTCTGACCTCCTCTGCAAAGTGAAGGACGGCCCTCGTCACTGGGGACCCTCCTCCAAAGAGTGCCACTCGGATGGCCCAGGGAGAGCTGTCCCGTTTGTCACTTAATACTTGCCTTAACAAGCAGAACTTAAAATGTCAGAATTGAGAGACCATTTACAGCCTCACCTTATTGATGATCATGACCATGATCTCAGGATGGTGGTGAGGATGGTGACGGTGGTCTTTATGGTGATGGTGACAATGATTTTGGGGGGGACAGGTAAAAGGCAACTATCATTTATTGAGAACCAACTATGCGCCAGCCACTCTGCTAGGAACTTCGTCTGTGTATCATCACCTGAGCCCTCCCCCATGACCCTGTCAGGTACTATTATTGTCACCATTTTACGGGTGAGGAAATCGAGACTCAAGAAGTCAAGTTTCTTGCATAAGGTGTCACAGTAAGTGGTGGCCTGGGATTCAAATCCAAGGTTGTCTGATTCCAAAGCCCATGTTTCAGAATGTCAGAGTCAAGTTCAAGGGCATTCTATCTTTCTTTTTTTTTTGGCCAGGATCTCATAGAATCTTTTTTGGGAAGGCCCTGTGCTACAAGTTCAATCCCTTCACTTTGCACAGGGAGAAACTGAGCACCAGAGAGAGGCAGTCCATGGGCAAAAAGCCAGGAAGTGGCAGAGTTGAATCTGGAGCTCAGCCTTTCAGGTGCCAGGGCCTGTGTCCTAGTGCCCAGAACACTGACAGGCACACAGTAGGCCCACAATAAACACCTGAAAAGTGACTCAAGAAGCCCAGAGAGGGACCAAAGTCACACAGGCTGCCAGTGGCAGAGTGAGAGCCCAAGTAATTCCCAAGCTTTTTGGCTCCTGGTCCCAAGGACTGTCCCCTCCACCTCACAGCTCCCCTGGGTGTCAGACGCCTGCTCTCGGAGGGTCGGCCGTGAGTTCATCTCCGGGAATCCAAATAGCTGCCACCTGCTGAAGGCCAAGAGGTCTCCCACGGGCCAGGCACTCTCGAGTCACTGTCGCCAGTCTGTGCAACCTCGTCCCCCTTCCATCCGAGGAGACCGAGGCTCCCACGGGTCTCCCACAGCTGGACGGTGGCGGCTGGGGCAGGGGCAGGAACTCAAAACCTGGGTCTGACTCCAAAGCCTGTGGTTTTGCCACCCTGCTACTTTTTCCTCGGATGGGGCCCCCGAGAGGCCCCCACAGGAGTGAGAAGGAGGCTCGGGTGGCTGCCCCTGCCCCCGGCCCTGGTTTCAGCTGGACCCGTTGTGCTTCTCGCTGTTTTGCATCCTGGGCATCTGCCCAAGTTTTCATTGAAACAGGGCTTTGCAGCAAAAAAATTTTTAAAAATGATATGTTTGAAACCAGAACGCTGCACCTCTCCTGGTGATCACGCCATCTAGGAACTGGCCCTGGCTTCTTGGGAGGGGGGGGTTAGTTCCCACCCTCCGCTCCTCCCTGGTCACCAAGTCCAGACCCTCTCCTGTCCTGAGAGCCCTTTGTCCGAAGCACCAGCTGCTGCCGTAACCTCTAACGGTCCTGCAGCAAGGAGCTGCCTCTTCCCCACGCACCTCGAGGCTGAGCCGGCCTTGCCCCAACCCTCCCGAAGCTGGAGCGCTGCAGAGGGGTTTCTGGGGGCCCTGGATTCCGCAGGCTGCCCGGTCCCGTCCTTGTTCTGCTGAGGCCGGAGGCAGCCCAGGAAGGCTCCCCCCACCACCCCCGCCCCACCCCCAGGGAGGACAGGCAGCGGCGGCGGTGGTTGTGAAAACTCCGCCAACCAGAGCTACCCACCGTGTTCTGCAGGGTTCGCGCGCACCACACTGGTTTTTATCCGCACAGCAGCCCCAGGGGTTAAGATGATCACTGTTTTATTTCTCAATTTTGCAAATGAGAACATGGAGACTCTGGCACCTAATGCAACTAGCCTCAGGCCAGTTAGCTCCTAAGTGACCAGACTGGGACTCCAACGGAGACCCTCTGAGTTTCTAACTACTTTGCCCTAGGGCATCCCTAATTATAATGGTCTCCCCCATTTATTTTTGGTGCTCGTTATGCAGCATGTGACATGGTCTGTCACCCCAGAGCTTTTCATGACTTGTAACAGTGCAGTGAAGTTGTGACACTGGTTGCTCATCGTAGAGATGAGGAACTTAGGCACAGAGAGGTTAGGTGACTCGCCCCAGGTAACACAGCTAGAAAGAGAGGGGACGCAGGGTGTGAATCTAAACAGTCTGCTTCGGGGCCCATGGTGCTGGACCGTCTCCAGGGAGATGGGTCCTGAGGTCGCCCCAAAAATGTTTCCATTTCTCTTGGCAAGTTGGGGCAGAAAAGCAGCCTCAAAGATGCCTGTGCCCTAGTCCCCAGACGTGGGGAATATACTACCTCACGTGGCAAATGTGGCTTTACAGACATTTGAGGACCCTGAGATGGGGAGGGTGTCTGGGTTCCCTGGGAGGGACCCATGTACCACAAGAACTCTCACGAGGGAGGGAGGGAGGAGGTCAGAGAGCAGAGGTCATGACCAAGTGCAGACAGGATGAGGAGTGGGAGAGAGGGAGAGATGCTACATTGCTGGCCTTGAAGGTGGAGGGAAAGAGGCACCAGCCAAAGATTGCAGGTGACCCCTCGAAGCTGAAAACGCAGAGGGAAGTGGTTTTCCCAGCACCCCCGCAGAGGAGCACAGCCCTGCCGACCATAGGACTTCTGGCGTCCTGAACTGGAAGATAATAACACCCGTGTTGTCTGAAGCCATGAAGTTTGGTATCTGTTGCAGCAGCCACGAGAAACCGGTACGGCGAGTCTGCAGAGGGCCCCACGATGAGAAGCCTTGGGGGTCGTGACGGAGCCCCTCTCGGCCAGAGGACCCAGTGTTTCCGTCATGTCACAGCCTGCCCTACAACATAGTGTGTGTGTGTGTGTGCACATGCTCCTACACACATGTGCATGTGTGCACATGCCCCCACATGCGTGTGCACCCCGACGGAGGCCCAAGCAGAAAGGACCGGTGCTCACTGCTTCCGCCCAGCTCCAGGCTCTGGCTGCAGAGCACCGCCGGGCACGCTGCGGTATTCACCCCAACCTGCTCTTTCAAGCGCCTCCGGGGAAATGCTCTCCCCAGGAACACCAAAGGAAGGAAGTGTCACAGGAGCACGGCTCATCCCAGGGGACCCGCCAGAGACAACAAGACAAGGAAGTGGGGCAGAGACACAGGAGAGCAAGAAAGAGAGAGAGAGAGAGAGAGAGAGTGTCAAAGAGAGAGAGAGACCTGTGGGGTCCCGAGGCGGCCCACGTGTCCAAACAGACCGTCCCCCTCGGGAAAGCAGCAAGTCTGAGGAGGCTCCTTGGTCCCCGCCGGAGAGAACAGGGTGATTACAGAGAAGAGCCACAGGACGGGGCAAGGCGAGCTTTCCAGACAGATGAGCGAGTATTATTTATTCATCAGCCGATCCGCCGCTACCAGGCGAGGGAGGCACTGCGAGGGGAAAGCGACGGGGACTTGCCTTCCGGAGCTCTGAGCTGGGTTCTCGGCCCCCCCCATCCACCAGCCGTGGGACCCTGAACATGTCACTTGCGTGCTCTGAGCCTCGGTTTCCTCAGCTGTGAAACGGGACGGTAACAGCGTGCCCGGGACGTGTCGCTGGGCTGATGGATGTGAACAGGCGATGTGTAATCCAGGCGACGAAGAGCAGCTGCCACGTACTGAGCGCCTACTGCGCGCTGCGTGCTTCACTGGATGGGGAGAGTCTGGTGAGGCGCCAGCCCCGAACTGCCAGGGGCGCCGGAGGAAGGAGAGCTGGGCAAAGGGTCAGGTTTTAGGGTGAGGAGGCCTGGGTTCCCCCGCACGTGATCTGTGTGGCCTGGGGGAAGTCACTAAACCTCTCTGTGCCTCCGTGTCCCCGTCTGTAAAGTGGGGACGATAACAGTGCCTCCTCCCACAGCTGTCATTGGAGTCCCATCAG